GCAGGAATGTGAGAAAGGAACTCACCAGTTTCGGGACTTGAATCATGGTTGGCCATGTGGGATCCAGTGCCTTTAATCACCACGCCACCTGCTGGCCCATAGGCACTGAACTTTCACATGGCTGACCATGGTTTGAGTCCTGGACCTGGTGGCTTACTTTCTTGCTTTCCTCCTCTCTCTCTGGTCAAATTAAAAATAACAGTAAATTTTTTTTTAAAGGCAGGAAATTTTTTCTATTTAACTTAATTAATTAATTAATTTTAATTTGACCCACATGCAATACATTTTGTAAAACGGCAGGTCGTGGGCAAGAGAGAAAGGAAATACAGGGGTTGAACACATGCGCCGGTCACTAAAAACTAGAACAAGATTCTATTTAGATATTTTAGGTACACAAAACTTCTAAATGAGTGGAACCAGCCACACAGGAGCAGAGCTGGTCAGAAAGCAAACCTCCCAGCCAAACTCCTTGAAAGTGACCTTGGACACAATTCATTCTCCAAGCTGGATTTGCATAAACTTATTGGAATTTTTAGTAGGACAGCATGCCTAGGAGCATTTCAACTGCAATCACTGAACTGGACATTGTTAGGATGACGGCAACAAGTAACCATTAGACGAAGTAAAATGAATGAATGAATGAATGTGCTCTGTGATGGGAATGGTTTTGGATGCAGGCAGAGTCTATGAAAGGCAGGTTAGGGCACCCAGACACCAGGAAGACAAAGACTGGTATTGCTGACCACAGCTTTCTGAATAATGCAGACTAGAGGGACTGGAAAGGCAAACCTTCCTCTCGCAAACAACAGCATGAAGACATCATCTGAAACTATTTAGAAGTAGCACATGAAAGAACAGACTGATGGTCGACAGCTACACTAATCAGGAAGTGGTGTAAGGTCAATAGGCTGACTGTCCCTAAGCCACTCATTGCACCAAAATTACGTCCAGATAGAGTCGATAAAAATACACACTTAAAAGAACCGAGACAAGCAAAGTTTAACAAAAACTATCTGGGGCTAGATAAGCCTTTCTGAATTACTCATAAAACCCAGAAGTCATAAAAGAAAATATTTATAAATGCATATGGGTGTGTATATATTTTAAATACATAATTATTTATTTCCATTTGTTGTTATTATTATTATTTTAATTTGACTAGAGAGAGGCAGAGAAAGAAAAAGGGAAAGTGAGAAAGCAAACTGCCAGGCCCGGGACTAAAGCCACAGTTGGCCATGTGGAAATCCAGTGCCTTTAACCACCATGCCACCTGCCAGCCCCAGGTGTGAATATATAACTCGAAACAGCAAAATATTACCATAAAACTTAAAAACCAGTGAGACACAGGGAAGAATTTGCAATGCAAATGATAGTTAATTTCCTTGAAATACAGAGGTCTTGTACTCAGTAAGTATACAGTCTTATAAAAATAAAAATTAAAAATCACAAATACAGTTTTTCACCTCTCACACTAACAAATACCCAAGTTTAAGAACTCGGTGTTGATAAAGGTGTGGAGAATGTCAACTGGAACCACCTCCCTAGAGGCCAAAATAGCGCCATCCCTCATATTTGGAAATGGACATGCACTATGCCCCAGAATTCCTCCTAAAGCAAACCTTCCCCTCATAGGTAAACTTGTCCATGTACACAAAAACACATGTAGACAAATGTTCGGTATAGTCTTATATACCACAGCAATGGCCGGAAACAACCTAATTGTTCCCCAAAAGGGGAGTAGTTAATTCAAACACAGCTGCCACACAGGTGCTGAGAAGACCATGGTAGACCATAAATGCAGGCACACAGGGACCTTGTAAATGTACTGTTAAGTGAGCAGTCCAATAGACAAGACGGTACGTGGTACCTGTCCTTCTACAACCTCATACATACAGACTTCTCGAGAAAGAAACTCCTGGAACTGGCCACATGGTTGCCTCTGTGGGACAGGAGACTGGGAGAAAAGATGTCACTTTATCACCTACGGTCTGAGGTTCTAACATATACAGGTAGTACTTTGGATTTTTTTTTTTTTTTTTTTTTTTTTTTTTGTTAAAGCGCGCGTGCACTTGCCATTTTTTGCTATAGGGCGTGTGCACTTGCCAGAAAGACAGAGACAAAGAGACAAAAAGTGAGAAATCACCCCCTTGGGGGTATGGCCATGTCACAATCCCTTCTCCTCCATTCTCCTCTTGGGATCTTGAGCATGTGCACACACACCCTGGCATGAGTTTTAGGCGCCGGGTCCGGGACTCTAACCGCAGTCAACTACTTGGAAGTCCAGTGTCGTAACCATTACACCATCTGCTGGTCCCTATTTTGGATTTTTTTTTTTTTAATACAAATGAAATACATTAGAGGAAATCAGCAGAGTTTTACCTTTGGGGTTAGCACAGGTACAGAGGCTGTGAAGGGCCTTGCTCTAAAGACAGACAGTAAGTTGCATGACTGTCACAAGAACAGGGAAGTAAGGGGACCAAGCCCAGGCACTGTAGAGGCAGGAGGACTTGAGGAACTCAAGTGTTCCTGTGTGGAGACAGTGAGACTGCTGGGCAGATGCTGGGCCAGCGTGGTACCCGCTGTCCACAACGTTCAGCTTCCCGTGCTCTTACAAGGTGGGGAAGTGCCACAGCAGGTTTACATCCGTGCCCCTGGCATTTTGGTGGCTCTCAGAGGAGAGACGGAGCAAGTACCAGACCCAGGAACAGCCAAGGGTATGCTAGAAGACAGGCGGGACAAACGGGGGCCCGCTGAAAACACCTCTTTTCCACTTAGGACTGGAAATGTCCCCAACACATCAAGTGAGATTTTTAACAGACCCAACAAATATGATACAATTAAATACATATTTTCCAAATGTCACAACTGCTTTTCTAGAAGAGTTTGTTGTTTCTTCATCTGCTTAGGGGAAAGAAAACCAGGCAGTAGACTCTGAGACTTGTAGGCTCCATTACTGTTTTGTGCTAAGCCAGCACCATCTCGTACTAAATTCTGGTATAGACTAGCAGTTTTCACCACAAGGTAGTTCCAGCTGAGTCTCATGACACACAAGGAGAAGACCAGCGTTACTCTATTTTGGCAGCAGACATTTTCAACACACCTCACAAAGCCGAGTCCCAGACCCAGATGTGTGAGGAGAGCTGGAGTGGGTATGACGCCGACCTCACGAGGTCTCTTGCAACCATTGCCCTAGGGATGCCTCAGCAAACGCACCAAGAAGAATTCAAAGGATTCCAGGACAGCACTGTTTGCAATGGCCAGAAAACACTAGGAATGACCCTGAAGCCATCCACAGGAAAATGGTTAAAATAACTACCACTTACACAGTATGCATCACATGATTCCATATTAGGGCAGTTAGTAATAGGATAAAGTTGCTTATGTTCTGGGATGGAAAATGTCTGAAGAGATATAAATGAAGTTGTCATTAGGAGTTATCTGGTGGTTAGAGAATTACATAAAAGAACTTTTCTGTGTGGTCTTTTTCTGTAGTATTTACATTTTAAACACCAGACTAGTGATTTATAAATTCTGCCACAAACATATACTCTACAGTCCCATCTGCTACAACAGTATGCACTATAAAAACATTAAGCATAGACTTACCTAAACTGAAAAACTGTGGTCCCTTCAGGAGAGCTGGGCCATGCAGGGATACGCAGAGAAAGAAGCTGCAGTGTGACTCAGAGCAGAGCACTAGGTTGGGCATCCTCAGCAGTCTCATAACGTGAGAATTTAAAAAGCTACATCTTGGAAAAACTGTCCATTATGTTCCTTGGATCTGGGACTCCTATCAGCATTCGGTCCATAGATGTCAAATTCACACACAGATGACAAGACTCTATTGTGCCAATCAAAGTCTCAGTGGGACACTGTGCATACTTGACAGATCAAAGAAAGCAACTGGCAGAAGTTCAACAGCTCCGCACACCGAGCTGAGCCGTGGAAGAGGATAGGGCAGACAGACACTCTCATACTCAGGTATGCAGTTTGTGCGCTCGCTCTGAGGGCGACAGAGCAGAATGTATGACCCAGCAACTCCACCTCTGGGTACCTGCCCTAAGAAACGCTCATTCATGTACTGTGCACAAGTGGTTGTATATGATGATCACACAGCACTGTGTGTAATACCAAAAAACTAGAAATAGCATACATCTTCATCGATGGCAGACTGGTTAAAGAACTCATGCTATACCCAGGGTAAGACAGACTATGCAACGGTTTAAAAGGATGAGAGCAGTTCTATATGTATTCACATTAAGTTCACTATTATTAAATGAAAAAAAAAATAAAGTCAATAATAACATATAGTATATCATAATATTTTATCATTTACATAGAGAGGATAAAGAAAACAATGTGATACCTCTTTTAAGAGGAATATAAACGAGCAGAAAAAGGTCTAGCAGGAAACAGCACATAGGTAACACCAGGTAGGGAGGGGATTGCCAACACTGTCAGTCCTGTTTTCATTCTGCATAATAAGAAAGCATCCGCTTATCACTTTTAACTGAGTACTGCAGAAGAGATGCCACCAGCTGCCCTCGATGGAGAACTGAGTTAACTGTGTTAAAGTCACATGACAGACTCAGGCAAGCAAACCAAATGAACTGTACACCAGGCCAAGGAGGCATTTCGACATCATACTAAATAAGAATATTTTAGAAGATGACATTCAACATAATAACTTTTCTATAAAGTTAAAAACTTGTTAAAATATATTTTGAAAAACACACTCAGGAAAAAAAAAATTTTTTAAAGCTTTATGAAAAAGAAGCAAGAGAAAGACAAAGCCCGGATTCAGGATGATGGTTACCTCAGCTCACAGGGAGGAAACCACAGAGGTAGGGGGAAGTTTTTACATTGGATAGGAGATTCAGAAATGCTTACCACATTCTTAAAAACAATCGAAAAAGAAAATAAAATAGGGTCATACTAAAACATGAACCAAAGAGTAGGTTAACCCAGTTTTGTGTACTCAAGTCCCAACAAGAAGAATATTCCTGCCTTAAGAGGAGTATCCTAGCTCTTGCTTACTACAACAGTGGATAGTGGCAGTCATTAAAAGTCATTGCATTTGATTAGAAACAACACAACAAAAACTAGAGCCCAAAATTTCCAGAAATAGATCTAGGCAGATCAGTATTATAAGGAGCTAATACTGACTGACATGTAGCAAAAGAGGAAAGAGTATTTACTCAATAAAAGCTTGCTATTTCAAAGTTAGCTGTGTAAATAGCTTAAGTGAAGAGTATTTATTGTAATAGTGAAAATACATACTTTTTTTAAAGAATTATTTTATTTAACTTTACTTATTTTAATTTGACGAGAGAGAGAGAGAGAGCGAGCGCAAGCCAGCTGCCAGGTCTGGGACTCGAACCATGATTGGCCATGTGGAAGTCCAGTGCCCTTAACCACCATGCCACTTGCCAGCCCCACAGACACATTTTTAGCTACTAAAGAATAGGTAACTAGAAGCAAATCCAATAGACTTATCAGTTATTATTACTAGCCATCTTAGACTAATTTTTAAAGTCCTTGCATGATAGTTTCTTTTTTGCACCAATAAAAAAAAAAAATATATGTTTGATTACCGTAACTGGCATAAAGCTAACGTTCCCACTATACAAAAAATCATTATCATTATAAAAGTCAATATAGAAATTTCACATGGTAAGAGGTCAGAGAGGGAAAAATCCATATGGTATATCAAGTAATACAGTGGGGCTAACTGATAATTAGAGAAATATAGACGACAACAACTAAAATACTTTAAGAAGAAGAAATATTTTATAACATTTCACTTGGCAAGGATTTTTTGACACCAAATGCATAGGTATGACCCCAATAAACACGAAAATAAAATACATCAAAACTAAAAACATGCATCAAATGACATAATCAACAGTGAAAAAGCAGCCTGATAGGATGGTAGAAAATATTTCAAATCATATGTTGGATGAGAGGGTTAGTATCCAGAATAAACTCCTCGAGTCAACGACAAGACACTTCAATTTTTAAAATGGGTAAAAGAGACTAGAATACACATTTTTCCAAAGAAGATGTACAAATGTCACTGAGCATATGAAAAAATGTTTGACGTCATTAATCACTAGTGAACTACAAATCAAAACCACAAAGAAATAACGCCACACACATTAGGATGGCTACTGTTAAAAAGGAAAAAAAGGCAGAACAGGGTTGGCAAGGACGGGAAAACTTGAACCCAGGTGCACTGTTGGTGAGAATTCAAATGGTACGCCTGCTACGAAAAACAGTGTGGCAGTTTCTAAAAAAATGAGAAATACCGTATGGTTTGCCAATATCACTTGTAGCTATGTATCCAAAAGAACTGAAAGCAGCATTTCAAAAAGATATCTGTACACTCACATTCACAGCAGCAGTATTCACAACAGCCAAGAGAGGACACACACCAGCTTTTCCATGAGAGACGAGGAGATAAACAAAATACGATATACACAAACAATGGGATATTACTCAGCTCCCGTGAAAAGGAGGTTCTGACACACTGTAATGACATAGATGAACCTATGTATTCACAGAAACGTGAATGCACTTAACACTACCAAACTGCACACTTCGAAATGGTTACGGTAGTAAATTTTATGCATGTATTTTACCATACAATATTTTTCAACTAGCCACAAGTACAATGGAAAAAACCTGACATTAGTGACTACGTGGGGAAATGGGTATATAATCATAAGAAGTATACATACGTTTTCTGGAGGAGAATCATGCGTCTGTGATGAGAGCTATAACAAACCATGTATGCTCAATGACCAGGGACTAGTACTCCGGAGAATATGTATGTATGCCAAATTTATAGATGCTCACCGCAGCAAAATTTAAAATTGTCAAAACACTGTTTTAACAGCGTAACAGACTGGCTGAATGAATACCCTGTAGTATAAGCACAGTGGGACTGAACAGTGACATCATTCACTTATGATCTTTTTCAATCACGCATCTCTTTGCCAAACTGGTGAGAGTTGTGCTTTCCACAGGAAAACACACACATACACCTCAGACAGAGCATGCAGACTTCTGGATGCCAATCCATGGAGTTCTTTGGGGAGCATTAACGACCCTAAGAAAAGCCACTTCAAAAGTGTTTGTGGACTCTGCTGATACAGGGAAATGTTAGTGAAAACAAAATTAAATATAAAAATAGAACAGACAGAATATGCACGGGTTCTCACTGCCTTAAGCAGCCCAGAGCGAGGTGGGCAGGCAGGTAGAGAATGGGGAGAGGGAGTCAGGAGGAAATGGCTAGACCTAATGCTGGGCAACGAAGAACAGAAAGAGAGAGAGGAGACATCACTGGAAGCGCTCGATAAAACATAGCTGTGTGCCAAACACATACGTTCATTTACCCCCGTCTCACAGATGAGGAAAACAGGTTCAGAGAGGTTAAGTAACTTGCTCCAGTCAAAAGTGGCCAAGCAGTCAGGATTAGAACCTAGACCCATTGCCATGGGTCCAAACCAGTCAGATGAGGAAGGAGGATTCTAAGAGAATCCCATTCTGGAGAACACACTGACCTGCCCCCAAGGTCTTCTCCAGTGAACTATCCCTTTGTGACAGCCCTCATGCAGACAAACTCTGCCATTCTATTGTCCCCTTTGGCCCCGGGAAAGCAGGCACTGGGAGAGAGTAAGGCCTGGGGGCTCTGAGAGGCCGTGGGTCCCCCACTTCCAGACTCCATAATAAACGCCAGTTGGAGCACAGGTTTAAAGGCAAAACACGGAAACGCACACATGTCATGAGAAAATACAGATTAATATTTAGATATGGTAGGGGGATGGGAACATAAACATCACAGTTGAACATGGTGATAAACCTCATAAAAATTGTATACTTCTTGTATCTGACACATAATACAAATTAAAAGGCAATCAAGTGCCAGTTCCGTGGCAGAGAAGTAACAAGGAAAGCCAGATCCCACAACGCAACTGTCGTTCAAATCCCCAGCACCGTCAGCCAGAAACGTGCTATGCACATGCTTGCGTGTACAAAATCCGAGGGATAAAGGACTGGAGGAAGGGATGTCACAGCGTGACCAGGCCTGGCGGAGAGTGACGTTTTCACTCTCTCTCATGTGTGCATACATGCACTCTACTATGAAGAAAGGAAAAATATATGCATGTCAGCTCTAATAGGATTACTAATATCTTTAATATGTAAATAGATTTGACAAAACCACCAGTGGAAAATGAGCAATTAGGAAGCGGAAAATCATACACACACACACACACCACACAAACGTTCAGTCAACATGTGGGAAGGATGTTCGATATCCAGCAGGCGAAACCAGGCTCCTGTCCACAGGTAAAGTAGGCTACACAGACAAAGTATAGATGAACAGATATGCCAGAAACAAAGGTTTTCCATATAATGATATGCGTTCTGAGGAAAAGGGAGTAAGAGTCAGATTTGCCTCACTAGTGAGACCACTAAAGTAGAAAATCACATTGGGCAATATGGACCTAAAGTCGTAAGAGGCTTGATACAGTCATTTCCTTCTATAAATGTATTTGTATATTCCGAGGAAACAAACGTGATTAAGTTTGAGCTACCAAGAAGGTCATCACTACCAAGAAGGCATTATTTCCTAAGAGGAAAATCCTGGGAAATAACTTGTATGTCTACTAAACAAGAGCGTTTAAAATGATATAGCCATACAATGGAACACGATGCCACCACTGAAAAGATGCTTACGAATGACAAAAACAAGGGGTTCACTGTGTATTAAAAGAGTTGTGAAACAGAATTGCCAATATCCCATTTTTTAATAAAAATGCACTCATTCTATGCAACAAGGAGTAGTGGGAAGGGGGACTCCTGAAGTGAATAGACCAATCATTAATGGAAGTTTTTTTCCTCAGGTTTCTCACATGCAAACCAGTAAATCATTTTTACACAGGGGAACTCAATGGAGAATTTTTTAAAAGAAAAAATAAATAAGTCCAAGGCTGAAGGGCCTGGGAGGTGCCAGCCCTCAGCAGGTACAGGCCAGGAGCTAGGATTCACTCAGGCAGAGTCCTCCTTGGGACTTGAACCTTCACATCTTTTTGGTTTTCATTTTACTATCTTTCCCTTGTCATTTCCAGCCTACAGCAGTATAGTTTTGTGTCATGAATGTGAAAAAGGTCAACACACCATAAATACCTATAAGCCTGCTTTGGCATTTCCACATGCGTTACTAGCACCACACTGTAAGGAATTCTATGAAAGGCCAGGCAAAGGTTAACGCCTCCTCCAGAGACTCCGCTTACACACACAGAAGTTGGTCCTGATATTAAAGTACCTTGGAGTCTCGGAAGCCACAGTGGGTAACACAAACCAAGGGCAGCCAGTGAGGCCAGTTACTGCCAACCGTCTGTTTGTACCATACGTCATTTCTGTGTCCAACCCAGGCTTATGGAAAAGCCTTAGCCAACACTCACTGCCAGGCTAGCTTCCTTTTTAAAAAAGCTTCCCGTTGAATTTCGGCTATTCTTATGCTCCACTACTTTAAATTTGCACAAGATCACTACGAACCCACTTACTGAGTTCCACATATCATCCCCTGCCCCCTGGAAGGGCTGAATTCAGACCGATGCACGAGGAAGGTAGCATCACCAGCGTCATCAACACCAGAGCCTGCCTACTGTACCTGAAGGTGGTGAGTTCACCCTCCAGCTGCCGGCCTCATTCCGTAACCATCTCATAGCCCCATTTCATAACCACTTGAAATATCAATCATTTATACTTCCGTAGATGAATTATTTTTTCATAAGCCACAGTTGTTGGGAAACAGAGTATGACATCCATGGGGCACTTTCAACCATTATCTCAAGGTAGGGAGCAAGAGTTTTTCAATCATCACAGAAAAGGGAGAAACAGAGTCCTGAAAAGGACAAGGCAGGTAGAAGGGAGTTGGGATAAAAAGCAAAGAGAGAGAAGCTAGGAAAGGAGGCCTACTTGATCCTGGGTTATTTGAGGGAAAGGGTTTTGAGCAGGGTGAGGGTCCTGAACACGCACACAGCAGTGCCCACTCCTGGCGGAGCCGCGGCAGAGGCTTTTAACTCATTTCCCAGTACTGTACACGTGAGGGCTCCCCAAGGAACAAGGGTGGGCATGCAAGACACACTATCAGCAACCAGCCCAGCAAAGCCAGGAGAGGAGGAGCCCTTCAGATCTTGCTTCCCCGCCTTCTGTTCTGGTCCCCACCAGGCCTGTTCCAGTTCAGGTCTTACTTCCCCCTCCCCGGGCAAGCAGGCCCCATTAAACAGAGCAGCACCAGCTTCCTGGAAACAAGCAACTTCCTCTTCAGCAGAGGGCTGGCAGCATCTAGTCCAAGTTTTTATTTTATGAGGTAAAACTGTATAGCCCCAAACCAGTAACACAGAGCAGAACTACAGAACAGTTTCCAGGATGAAACACGCTGTCATTTCCCTCAACCCAAACATAGAATCAAAGTACATGCCTTGAGCCATACCCTTGATCCCACAGGTGTAGCCTCACTCCCTTCGCATAGCCTTTGCTTAATAGAGCACTCAGCCGAGGAACCCACACTTCCTAGTCACTTTCCAAAAGATAAAAAGTTTGAGCCGAACTCTTCAGAAAGATACTTATGTGCTTGGAACCAAATCCCAAATACTGCAAATTCGTTAAACACTTTTTACACATCCATTACACTCTTAAGACTGTTTTCCCCAAATACAAATGGGTACCATTAGAAATCTAACCAGGTAATGTTCTAGAATATTATCCCACCTAAAACACTCACCTTCACTGGCTGGGTGGCCCAGCCTCACATATTTGCACAACCATTACCAACTCCCAACAGCCAACAGAGCGTCCATCCGTTCCAGTTCAGGTCTTACTTCCCCCTCCCCGGGCAAGCAGGCCCCATTAAACAGAGCAGCACCAGCTTCCTGGAAACAAGCAACTTCCTCTTCAGCAGAGGGCTGGCAGCATCTAGTCCAAGTTTTTATTTTATGAGGTAAAACTGTATAGCCCCAAACCAGTAACACAGAGCAGAACTACAGAACAGTTTCCAGGATGAAACACGCTGTCATTTCCCTCAACCCAAACATAGAATCAAAGTACATGCCTTGAGCCATACCCTTGATCCCACAGGTGTAGCCTCACTCCCTTCGCATAGCCTTTGCTTAATAGAGCACTCAGCCGAGGAACCCACACTTCCTAGTCACTTTCCAAAAGATAAAAAGTTTGAGCCGAACTCTTCAGAAAGATACTTATGTGCTTGGAACCAAATCCCAAATACTGCAAATTCGTTAAACACTTTTTACACATCCATTACACTCTTAAGACTGTTTTCCCCAAATACAAATGGGTACCATTAGAAATCTAACCAGGTAATGTTCTAGAATATTATCCCACCTAAAACACTCACCTTCACTGGCTGGGTGGCCCAGCCTCACATATTTGCACAACCATTACCAACTCCCAACAGCCAACAGAGCGTCCATCCCCACCCACCCACCCGCCTGCAGAGCAGAGGACACACTAGTTCTGTTTGAGGTGACTGTGCCCTATCCAGGGACCTCAATTACTTGGGAGTTAGTGAACACTGATTCTAGGCCTGAATCTACAACGTGAAGGAATATCCAACTTCATTATGAAGGCAACTTGACAGGGGGCAAGGAATGTAACATAGCAATACGACAATTTTCATGAGTTCAGAACTCAAACCTTTATTTGTGCTGTAAAGGGGAAGAAAAATGATTAGTAATCACGTACATGATGCAACAGGACCAGTTCTTATCATACAGAGCAACATACAAACGCTTTGAACCACCTACTTTTACAGTTTCAATTTCGCAACATCATACCCAAAAATATTTCCCCACACATGCATGACTAATACACTTTAAACCCCACTGACAGTAATTGTATCATGCTCGTTACTGTTACCATGCCAACGTGTTTTTAAAAAATTTTTTTAAAGGTATCTGGAAGACCAAAAAACAAATAAATAAATAAATAATCCTAAGGGTTTTTGGAGGTTCAAATTTTTGAAAATTTAAAGATAAACATGATAATGGCCATTGGCATTTCTTCACCAATTAAATCAATGTAGCTTAGAGAAATGAAGTAGGATTTTCAGACCTCCCCTGAATTTTTAGCAGAACATATCTAATAACAGTATCACTGCCACCCCAGTTCCACTCTTACTTCCCAAACTAATTTTTGTAAGGTACTTTCTCCTCCGATCCTGGATCACTTAAAAGCGCAAACATTCAAAGTAAAAATACAATGGGTTAATTCACACTAATTTTAGCAAAAGCGCATGGATTCTGTTGCTACCAGTCATTTTACAGTGACCATAAAAGGTTATTTGCTTCTCCTTGTTACCGATTTAAAAATAGTAAGCAAAACTGCTGTTACTAATACTGACCGAACACCAAAAACGTGTTTATGAGGTAGGACTTACATACAAATACCTTTAGAAACCATTGCATTCTCACTGTTTAGAATTTTCAATTACAAAATGTGATTTTAAAAAATGAGTTACAAACCCAGAACAGCCATCTAATCTCATTTAAGTGCACACTGAAATTCCCGGCAAGCGCCCAACCTAGGCATTTGGAATTCTAAGACTTATGGCTGCTGAACATCGCTGCTTTAGACAAACCACCTACGAAGTTTGGCAAGCTATGAACTTTAATCTCCTGCTGGTGCAGGTTTGACCCCCGTATTTCAAGTGACTAATAGTTGGACTTTCAGCTGCACCTTTTAGTCTTCCCCATCTAGCAGGAAAGCAAAACAATTCTGCTCTTTTTCTTTGTGCCTAAAAGTCGGAACACTTTTAAAACCTCAGAAAGTTTCCAAACACTCATTGCTTCCAAGCAACAAGTTAACCAGCACTAACAATTTACTATTAATTAGTATATTAATTAGTATCTTCTTTGCTCATGAGTCCTACTAAATTTCTTAGAGGTTTGCTTTTCTCCACGGAATCCCCTTCAACCCACAGTGGCTACCACCCCCACCCTCTGCACCATACACCTAAGCAATCTTTTCTTCTCACCTCCCTCCCTCTCCAGTACTAATGCCAAGCTGTGCCCTCCTCCTCCAACTCCCACCTCAGAGATCTTTCAAAATGCTAAGGGTACTTTGAAATCTAATTAAATGCAATCGGAGTTTAAACAAATGAAGCGGAAGATGATTATCAGTACCCCCCTCCCCTTCCCTTCTCTTAGTAATCTGTAGCTGTCAGAAGGTCTAGACCTGCCACCTGGAACATATGGAATCTGAGTATGACCAGCTTGTACCCACCTTCCCACACTTCAACACCACACTGACCCACTCAATTTGCCAATCTGGTTCATCTAATAGGCCTTAGGCCTCTTCTGCCTAAGGCATTTAAAACGATTCCCATTCCCCTTCATTTCCCCAACACTCAAGTTCTATCATTGCACTAAGAATTCCTCCGAGCATGCGCAGGAAGGCAGGCAGGCAGGCAGGCAAATAGGTGGGCAGGTGAGAGGTCACGGGACTCCATCTGCAAGCTCCATCTACAAGGCATCATCCTGCGTTGTGGCATCAACGTTAAATTGTCCTACAGCTTAAGAATCTTCTCGAAGCAAGGTTCGTAGCACAGAACTAGTATGACCAGAAGATCAATTTACAGGATGCAGATCTGAAAACCTCCACCCCCAGAAAAGGAGGGGTGCCCGCTGCCATTCATGCGCTCGAGGTTGGTGCTCCTGGAACAAATAGTCTTTCAAAGCTGTAGGCCCCTCAAGCTGGATGCATTTGCTTTGGACTTTTTAGGGCTGCCCTCTCAAAAGCTCATCTGAAAACCTTAAATGGCGGCCTCCCGAATACAGGGCTTCCTGAGCAAGGCCTGGAAACAAAACACTGGAGAACTTCCTCCTAAGCCTCTGGAAATTCAATCATCTGCAGACATCAATTTAGGCGGGCTCTCCTCCAGGGTCTCCCCTCCTGCACTGCTACGACTCATACTGGCCAGGGGCTCCAGTTCTCTTGGTGCCATCTGCTCGCCATGATGAACACTATAGTAACAAACCACGGTCCATGAGGCATTTTTGTAACCTTCCGCTGGAATCCCTGCTGCAGGCCCACCCCAGGGTGCACATTCAATTCCCACCCTCTCCACAAGCAAGCCACACCAACCCACCCCAGCCAGAGTCTCCGCAGGGAGTGCATTTCCTCCGCCATTACCAACAATACCGACTCCAACTGCGACTCCAGCTCTTTCCCCAGGCTTACCAGAAGACCAGAGGCAACATGTTAAGTGAAGGAATAACCTCGAGAAAGCTAAAGGGAGGAGGAGTAGAGTGAGCTTGCAGAAGAGGTTAGCACGGAACCTAGAGAGAAGGAAAAGTCCAAAGGGGAGCACTGCCACCTGGAAAAAAAAGTGTTGGTCAATGTTGTCCCCAGACACGCAAACATCCTGTTTCGGCAGCCCCTGCCAGCCTCGCTAGGCGCCACACTTCACCTCCAGAATCATGAGACCACCCCTCACCTCCGACCAGCGATCTGGCTTCACACCCAAGCCTGGGCTCCACAAGGCTGGGCTGGCCGGGGCCTTGTCCCAGGTGGAGCCAAAATTACATACCACCCTGGGCCACAGCTGGCACCCCGCAGACCTAAGTTCTGTTCCAGAAGGCCAGGCCTCATTCCCAGGCGGGCTCACAACCCTCTGTTTGGAAAAGAAGGGGGCTGCTGGCATTACAAGCTCGAAGTCAGCCCTCCCAGCCCTCCTTCAGCTCTGCACCCACCACCTTCCTCCTGATCAATGCTTGGCCAACACCAGCCCAATTCTGCTTCCACTCCTCCATCTTTTCTGCCTCTCCTGCTTTTCTCCTTCCACACAAACCAGGGCGCTGGAGCTCACTCGGCCCATGTTAAGAGCCTCCCCCTCGCAGACCAGGTCAGGAACCCCATCTCCAGCAGGCCAGGGACGGCCAGACCTGGGGGGTTGCTGGCCTCTCCCACCACAGTCCTAACATCTGGTCTTTTTGACTTCCTTTCTAGTATCCCGACTCCCACAGTCTCATATAACGCTGTCACCTCCCCCATCTGTCCCCTGAGGCCCTAAACTGGTCACTTCCACCCCCACAACTAAACCCAAGCGCCCAGCACTCCCTGTCGCTAACTCCTGATGGACGGGCCACAACTTTTGCTTTTATAGCCCTGGTCGCGTCACTCAGGGCATTGCTCAACGGGACGATTCCTCCACTGCCACCGGAAAAAAAAAGTCCCTGCCTGACCCTGCCCAAGACCACTGGGGGCGGGCCCGGTCTCCACAGTCCCCCGCCACTCCTTCAGATTGTGCAATTCATCCCCACTTCGTCCTTGGCAGCGCTCCAAGGGATCAAGGACAGAGCTCAAGGTCACCTATGGGAGGAGGATGGCACGGGGAGACAGCCCCTGGGTGCGGGGACGAGGACACACGATTCCCGCAGACTGGGTGGGTGCGGGAGGCGAGTCGGGATCGCTGCCCTGAGGGTGCGAGGGCAGCTCTCGGGGTCGCATCGGGTCGCCTAGTTTCGCAGAGGTCAGAAAGAAGGGCCGGCAGAGCGGGTGGAAAA